GATGTGATATGAAATTACAAGCTGCAATGAGAACGCTTTCTGTTCGCCAGGATCAAACGTTAATGGTTCTTACGCTGATTGTCAATATCTTTGAACGTTTTCAGAGTTACAAAGCGTAAACAGGCAGAATTTCTTCAGAAATGATATTTCAATATTTTGTGCTTCAGTATATTAATAATAATAATAATAATAATAATAATAATAATAATAATAATAAACATTGGCAGATAACATACTTGATTACAGCTCACAAATTCAGCAGAAAATGTATATATTATACAATGTTATGAAACCAATTCTAAGGAGAACAAAACAGTACTCTAACCTTATCACGACGAAAATTAATTTCAAACCTTTTTTTGTTGATTTGAATTTGGCGCCAAAATTGTTCGACAAAAATACTTCAAATTCAATTATTTTCCCCTGTCAATACAATTTTTTCTACAACCTGATATATGTAATAGAAGATGAGAAAAATGTACGCTCTTCTATAACGCGTCTGAAGGTTGTATAGAACGTCCGATTTTAAGAATTAAGTACAGTCCCTGAGGGGCCTTTCAAGTAAATAAACATACCTCCTGTTTATAAGATTTCAAAACTGTTTTAAATTCCCATTAACATGGTTTTCATCACAATTACATTAGTAAAATAGTACCTTGAATGCAATATGTATTTACCACAAATTGTGGTGAATATCCTTAGCATTTGTTATTGTTGTTAGGAAGGAATGAGTTCGGCTGTTGGATCAGCCACAGCTGTGACGTCACGTGTTTCGGTATATGTTTAAACTAAACACGTCTATATGATCTATATTTAATTCCACATTCTTCAGAGAGACCAGTTGAATATTAATAAACATAAAAAATGCAGAATGTTCTCGACATTTTTTGATAGCTTGTAGTTATACAATTTCTTTCGTGTATTTCATGGCTTCGTACTTCTGGCAAATACAATGCAATACCCGAACTAGTTCTAGAAAATCTGACTTATGTATACGCAAATTAATCTAAGAACAGGGAAAATATCACGCATTAAAAAACGTCGTTGGATGACTTTTTGTAATAGCGCCAATGTTTATTATACAGGTCAATAGCAGTTTTATGACATAATGTGAATGGTGATTATAACTGTCTAGGGTTCTTCATACGAATATTATTTTAAATTTTGTCAACAAAACTTATTTTTCTTATGTCATGCAACCCTCTATCAATGGAAATGTTTGAAAACGCGGCATATTCTTTTTGGTGTGGAGTTCAACTTAATTATTTTGCACTTAAAAATGAATCATGAGTACGAGTATATTCAATAAATTCCCATTTGATTGATCCTCACTTCACAAATACATTTTCAGAAAATGAAGGAAGTACACAATATTGTCGATGAATTATACTTAAACATATTGAATCGCGCAAATAAGAAGTGTTGAGTGTCTGTTTCAAGCTCATGTAGGTTTGTGTATTGTGATAATTAAGATGACATACCTCGTACCTGTGCAAGTTATGCAGATCCTTGCTATAAATATGGAATATTTACACTGAAGCCACAAACCCGACCCATTCATCATGTTGTAAAGAATTGGTATGAACTTGTATTTTGTGTGAAATGTTGGCGATCACGACAAGAAATTGATTTCTACATATACAGGAAACGGTCGTACCTAGGGACACTTTTAATGTTTTATTTTTTCACCCCTTCTTTTGGATATGACATTGTTGATGTTCCTCTTTTTGAGATGTCTCTGCATATTTATGCAAAATACTATTTTCAATACGGTCTATAAGATTATTTTTGAGATTGTTTGTGTACAATGTGATCCTTAATACATAGTACTGATGTATCTGGGAACACATAATGATGTACCTGGGGCAATGTAAGGAAAGTGAAACTAGTGGTGCTAAAACAGGACGTACCTTCCCGTCAATAGTAATGGGTATGTAATACTATTTGTACCACAATTTAATATAAATAAGCAAATAAACAAAAAATTAGCATAATGTAAGTAAAATTTTAAATATTTAAAAGTTAATAAATAAAACGGTACTCACAGCGTTAGAAAACAAATAGATCGAACACTATGGTATTATAGTATTCTATCAATGTAATAAAAATTGGCCGTCATTATCGCCTTTTGTTAAGTGTGCGGCGTTACTGTTACAGGAAAGCCAGGGGTATAATAAGAAGAGTTCTTTGTCGATGTATTTATTACAATCATCCAAAAATCCAAAATACAAGCCAAATCAGAGAAATACCAGTAGATTCCTCAAACGTTACACAGTTGTTACCCTTCACCAGAAATCACCTGAAATCACTGTCCTGTCGTCAACAAACACGTGGTAGAAGAGCCCTGTCGAATTCGCCTTGTGCAGCAGCCAAATAACCAGGCCCTGTGCGCGAGTGCGGCGCTTCCGCCTTCGCAGCGGGGTGCGTAGGGGCGGGCTGCACGTGGTTGCCCGGTGGCGCCTGGACGAACTGCTCCTTCTGGGCGAGGCCACAGTGGGCCGCACCTCTCATGGCGGGCAAAGTGGGCCCCCTCACCCCTCTCCGCGGTCACAATTGCTCCGTATGCAGAAATTACAATGGTCACTCATCTAGTTGTTTTCACATTTAATACTATGCGATGCAATCTAAAATTTAACATAAATGAAATATAAATAATATCAAAATCATATATGAAATAATAAATAAATTTTAACTTACGCAACATCCAAATGCGTTGGGAGCGGACGACTGAAGGCAAAGAATCATTATTTCTTATTTATTTCTAATACGTTCTTAATAGTTACTAAAAGATTAATTTGTAAATGTATTAGAAACGCTCCATTGTAAGAAACGAACAAAGAAGTATCAAATAAGACACACGTTCTAACTTACCTCACTGCCTCAACTGCCTCAAAACACCTAAAAGTACGATAAGAAACCACTGGATTTTCTGAGCGGGCGACTAACTTTGACGCCCAATTATTCCAAAAAATACTCATATTTTCGAAAAATTCAACCCCACCTTATTTGAAAATCTGCTGATGATAAACACATTTCATTAAGAAACTAGTGTTGCTACAGAATGATACAAAATTTTCTGTATTAGTTTTCTATTTTCTCGATCAATCTTCAATCGATCTCTCTTCAATCGATCTCGGTTAGCTATTCAAACTTTTTCATGCCTGCGGCCGTCTAACGCCGCTAAAACTACATTTTTTGACATTTTCTCAAATTTTCAGTGTCTTAATTGTATATTGGACTGACAGAGAGACAGACGGCCAGACGGACAGACGGACAGATGGCCAGACGGACAGATGGCCAGACGGCCAGACGGAGAAACGTACAGACGTACATATGTACAGACGTACAGACAGACGGATAGAAGGAGGGACAGACGGACAGTAGGACGGACAGACAGACAGACGGAGAGACAGAAAGACGGACAGACAGACGGACAGACGGACAGACAGACGGTCGGACGTTTTGTAAAAAGCACTTATTCAGTATCAGGGTACCCCGAAACCTGCATTTCAGTTGAAATTTCGAAATCGATTTTCCGCAGCATTACGTAACTTGCCCTAATCTACGTATATTACTCAGTATATACGGACGTATACGGGAAATTAAAAGTATCTGGGATTTTTTCTTCCCAAACGAGTCTCATATGAAATCGAACAATATATCAAATTAATCAAAACTTTAAATAAATAATTTCAAAGATAATCTTTTGAATAATTCTGCAAATGTTTTTAAAACACATTGAAAGAGAATTTAGGTAAAAAGTTAGGTGTGTAGATTTGTTATTGAGTTGAAATTGAATTTATGCCTTATTTTACTTGGCGAGACTCGGGCCATCACGCTCTTCCCTCTGACCACGGAAATCGTCCGTCGTTACGCTCCTTTCACCCACTAGCGAAGAAAGGAGGTATTTCTTGGGCGACGAAACAGGCGATTTGAATTTAGCTCAGTGGTTTCATTTAGACTTTAGAATCTTTTACATGCAAGTAACTCTACGAACATGGGACAGCCGGCTTTACTTCCCCTCCGAAGGAAGGCGTACGAAGGATGTTTCGCCCTTAAAAACCCACGGCTTCGATCGGGTTTGAACTCTTCAACTTGGGCATATACGCCAACCGTTACACCACCGCGAGAACGAGAGGTTGAACGGGAGATTTTTATATTTCTGGTACTTGCTAAAGATGTTCGAAGGTTTTTCTGGCGTTGAACATGGAGTAGCCCTCGTGGAACATAAGGCAGTCATACGTCATGTCGCAAATTTTTGCCTTTTAACGTAAGAGTTAAGCGCCGTTAGAAACCAGGGTTCGCAGACGGTCACCGATCCTGTTATCCCCAGGGTCTGGAGCTGTTTATCTTCGGTGATTTCTCGATGCGTGGTAACGTAGTTCGGCCACTGGCGCAGCAGATGTTTAGATACTTTTAAGGATCAAGCCATTCAAACGTGCGAGGAAAAACTGGAATGTTCAGGACGGTGAAGAATAAGTGGAAATGGCATTGGCAGCTGCAACAAAATGTATATACTAGATCTCAAATTCCAATGCATTTATTTGATCACTTAATTTTGTACATAATATGCACCTACATTTATTAGCAAAATTTAGAAACATTTTTCATTGCCCAATAAACCCCGAGGCATGAGTGCGAACACACGGAAATAGCAAAAATAAATTCATTTAAGGTACCGTTTGCTGCCGGTACTGTTAAGTCTTTTTGAAGGTCTCGCTCAATGATTAAACTACTTTATATTCTAATAAATTACTCAGACTCAAAATTTAAAGAAGCTAACAGTCCCGCAACAAACTACCTTATCGTGGATTTTATTTTCGTTTTGCAAGAGTCGGCATAAGAAAAGATTGATTTATTCCCCTAGGATGACGACGGAGAGAGCAGTGCGGCCTATCTCCTCATTCTACCAGGCCAAAAACTCGTGGGAAATGTTGATTTCGTAGACAGTGCAGCCGTATGTTCAAGAACATTCATCCGCTCAGGGCACACGAAAGTCCTTAACCGAGAGCATTGGCGTTGGCGACGCTGGGAGCTGGGTGGTACACTTCGGGTTCACCACCAAGGGCGTTGGCGTTCGCGATGGCACGCATGGCGTTGGCGTTGGCGACGCTGGGAGCTGGGTGGTACACAACGGGTTCACCACCAAGAGCGTTGGCGTTGGCGATGGCCCGCATGGCGTTGGCGTTGGCAATGGCTCGCATGGCGTTAGCGTTAGCAATGCTTGGGGATGGGTATACAACGGGTTCACCTCCGAGAGCGTTGGCGTTGGCGATGGCGCGCATGGCGTTGGCGTTGGCGATGGCTCGCATGGCATTGGCGTTGGCGACGCTGGGGCTGTACCCGCCGAATCCACCGCCGAGGGCGTTGGCGTTGGAGATGGCTCGGGCGGCGTTGGCGTTGGCGACGCTGGGGCTGTATCCGCGATCACTCCTTAGGGCGTTGGCGTTGGAGATGGCTCGGGCGGCGTTGGCGTTAGCGACGCTGGGGCTGTAACCGCCGAATCCACCACCGAGGGCGTTGGCGTTGGAGATGGCTCGGGCGGCGTTGGAGTTGGCGATGCTGCCACCGTAGTCGCCCCAGCCGCCACCGAGGGCGTTGGCGTTGGAAATGGCTCGCATGGCGTTGGAATTAGCAACGCCACCTCCTAGAGCGTTGGCATTGGAAATGGCCCGCATGGCGTTGGCGTTGGCGATGGCTCGCATGGCGTTGGCGTTAGCAATGCTTGGGGATGGGTATACAACGGGTTCACCACCGAGAGCGTTGGCGTTGGCGATGGCGCGCATGGCGTTGGCGTTGGCGATGGCTCGCATGGCGTTGGCGTTAGCAATGCTTGGAGCCGGAGCCACATAACCATCGTACCCTCCTAGAGCGTTTGAATTGGCGATTCCTGCGAAAAAAGTGTTAGCGTTAGGCTTTGACTTTAAAGAGTTTGCGTTCGCATTTCCTCTATCAAGAGCATTGGCGTTTGTAAGAGATCGCATCGCGTTAGCATTGGCAACAGAGCCTCTTCCCAAACCCTTCGCAAGTGATCGCACGGCTTGGGCGTTGGCTAGCACCCGCCTGGAAACGGCGTCAGCTTTTGTGAGAGAGCGGCTCGTCTTCTCGCCCTGGGCGTTCTCTCTCCCCGTCGAACGCATGGCGTTGGCGTTGGAGATGGGACCCACACTTTGGGGAGAGAGGTAGTCGCCTGCTGGATAAGTACCAAGAGATCGCAAAGAGTTGCTATTCGCTTCGAAGTTGTCATCCAGTGTGGCCAAGGTGTGCTCGACGTTGCGCAGCGCCATCTGCTGGAAGAAGTTGTGCCCCTTGGCCGCCACGTCGTGTTTCTCAGCGCTGGCGAGTGCGTTGGAGTTGGCAATGGCGGCGTCGGTGGCGGCGTTGGCCAGCGACGCTGAGCCGTACTTGTCCGGAGCGGCGAGTGCGGCGGGGGTTGGCGGCGGTGGACTTTGGCCGCTTCGTCGAGCCCGGGCTTGGCTAGCTCGGCGGCGGCCGGCACGAGCGCGTTGCGGCGGCCACGTTGGCGTAGTCGACGGCGGTGCTAGCGTAGGCGTCGGCACGGCGGCCTCTGTGGCCAGCGCGTGCGCGGCGCCGGCCGCGGCCTGGGCGCGCCTGCGGTGGATGCGACGCGGCTTCGTGCATGCTGGAGGAGGGAGGCGGCGGCGGCGGCGCCGGCGGACGCCGCGGCCATGGCGGCGGCCTCGACGTCGGCGGTGGCGAGGCGACGGCGGCGGCGGCGGCGGACGCCGCGGCGGCGGGGCTTCGCGGCGTCCTGCGCGGACAGCGTCGCGGCGCTGGCGGCCGGCCGCCCGCGTGCTCCACGGCGTCGCGTGACGCTTGTCTGCGCGTGCGCGGCCGTCGCGGCGGCGAGCGCCGACGCGTCCGAGGCAGAGTCGAAGCTGAAGGCCGTCGCTTGCGCCACTTGCGTGTCCTCTTCGGTGGTGGCCGTCGCCTGGGCGATCGCGCTCACTAGTTCGTCGCTAAAGTCGTACACGGCTTCCTCGTGGTAAAAGGTTTCCTCCTCTTCAGTAAAATACTCCTCTTCGTCGTATTCCTCGTAGTCGCGGTCTGAAACACGCCAACTCTCTGAAGAGCTCTCTCTCTAGGTCTTGCTCGTATGCAGCAAGGTGGTAGTGACCGAGTGCCCTGTGCTTGCTCTGTGGTGCTCGAGTGGCGAGCAGAGTGTGTACGTGGTGGCGATCCGTTGTGGTGGCGGGCCGTCGGTTGTTGTGCAAAGGTTCTTCTGAGGCGTTGCGTGGGTGGGTTTGGGGGATGGGGAGATCCCTAGGCGGGGCAATGCTTCTTGCTCCATCGTCATCCGCTTTCAAGAGACGGCCCAGCCGAAAGAGTTTCCCAGGAAAGAATTGTGTTGAATAAGTACGAGTAGGGGGTAATGAGAATGTAGGTTGTACTCGATTGTCATTTGTATCTACTCGCGAATGCCTTCTGTTGTTTTGTTAACGTCTGCTCACTTACCCAGAGCGTTGGAATTGGCAATCGATCCTCCATAGCCGTTGCCCTTCTGTCTTCCACTTAACGCGTTGGCATTAGCTACTCCACTGCCCAAAGCGTTGGCGTTTGCAATACTCCCCCAGCCCCCATACCTTCCCAGCGCATTCGCATTGGCCAAGCTCTCCCAGAATCCTCCAAGCGCGTTGGCATTAGCGATTCCACCGAAACCTGTCCAAAATCCACCTCCAAGAGCATTTGAATTGGCAATTGCATCACCTAACGAGTTTGAATTAGACAAACTGCCGCCGTATCCTTTGTATCCTTGATCTAAAGCATTCGCGTTGGCTACGCTGCCACCATATTTCCAAGCGCTGCCACCTAGTGCATTTGAGTTAGCCACTCCGCTTCCTAGACTATTTGCATTTGATACAGAAGATCCGTAATACTTATAACTCCCTCCTTGTGCGTTTGAATTTGCAAGACTCTGGCCTAAAGCATTCGCATTAGACACACTACCTCTGTATCTTCCATACCCACCTCCTAAAGCATTAGAATTTCCAATACCCTTCCCTATCACATTAGCGTTGGAAATACTACCAAGATGACCTTTCTTTCCTTTTAAAGCATTGGAGTTTGACACCCCACCACCTAAAGCATTAGATTGGGAAATACCGCCGCCATGCCCTTTATGTCCTACTACGTATTCACTTTGACCTAGAGCATTTGAATTTGCAACTCCCCTGCCTAACGCATTGGAATTTGAAACACTTCCCCCGTAACTATTGCTGTATCCACTTAGAGCGTTAGAATTTGTTAAGCTTTCTCCATAAGAGTTAGCGTTAGATACACTTCCGCCATAACTGCCTCCAATTCCACCCAGTGAATTTGAATTTGCTACTCCACCCCCAAGCGTGTTAGCGTTAGAAACACTACCACCAAAAATACTTTCGTATTCCCCTAAGGCACTAGTATCAGAATCCCCACTTCCGAGAGCATTAGAATTGGATACGCTGTATCCACTGTGACCGACAGATTGTCCGTCGAGAGCATTAGAATTTGCTACTCCTCCTCCAAGGGCATTAGCGTTTGAAACACTTCCACCGTAACCACCTAATATTCCACCAAAGGCGTTAGAATTGCCAACACTGTGTCCCAAAGCATTAGCATTCGCTATACTACCGCTGTAACCGCCTGTGGACCCCGAGAGGGCATTAGAATTGGCAATGCCGCTTCCTAGCGCATTGGCGTTAGCGAGACCGTGTCCGCCAGAGTATCCACCGAAAGAATTGGAATTTGATAGTCCGCCACTCAAAGCATTAGCGTTAGAAACACTTCCTCCGTAACTGGCAGAATATTCATCGAATGCATTAGAATTAGATACACTTTTTCCTAGCGCGTTTGCATTAGATACGCTACCACCATAGCGTCCTGAAAATCCATCAAAGGCATTAGAGTTTGCAGTGCCGCTCCCTAAAGCATTAGCATTTGATACGCTGCCCCCATAACCTTTTATATATCTGTCAAAAGCATTAGCATTAGATACACTACCTCCGGAAGTACCTGAGTACTCTCCAAGAGCGTTAGAATTTGTTACACCTCCTCCAAGTACGTTAGAGTTAGATAAACTTCCGGCAACTCCTCCTGAATATCCAGTAAGTGCATTAGAAGTGGCAACTCCGCTTCCCAAAGCATTAGAATTAGATACGCTGTGTTTCAGACCACCGGACTGTCCACCGAGAGCATTAGAATTTGTTAGTCCACTTCCAAGAGCGTTTGCGTTTGATACACTTCCTCTATAACCACCTAACTGTCCATCCAGAGCGTTAGAATTGGCAACTCCGCTTCCCAAAGCATTAGCATTAGATACGCTGTGTAGTGGATCACCAGACTGTCCACCAAGAGCATTGGCGTTTGATACACTGCCACCGAAACTGCCTGAATGTCCACCTAGAGCATTAGAATTGGCAAATCCAGCTCCAAGAGCGTTAGCGTTTGAGATACTATGACCGGCCAAATTTCCACCCAAAGCGTTAGAATTGGATACTCCTCTACCCAAAGTATTAGAGTTAGACACACTACCACCATAACCTCCCGACTGACCACCCAGTGCATTGGAAGTAGTAACACCACTACTATCTAGAGCATTAGCATTAGAAATACTGTGTCCACTACTGCCGTAATTCCCACCAAGTGTGTTAGAATTAGCAACCCCACTTCCCAAAGCGTTAGCATTTGATACACTACTACCAAAACCGCCCCAATATCCACCAAGAGCATTTGAATTAGCAACACCACTGCCAAGAGCATTAGCATTAGAAAAACTGTGTCCTCCAGTATGCCCACGGAGGGCATTAGAGTTGGCAATTCCATCTCCGAGAGCGTTGGCATTAGAAACACTGCCACCATACTCTCCAGAGAGACCATTTAAAGTGTTAGAATTAGCAATTCCACTACCTAGAGCGTTTGAATTTGATACACTTCCTTTGTAACTACCCCCATATCCGCTCAATGCATTAGAATTGACTAACCCTCCTCCAAGTGCATTTGCATTGGATACACTACCTCCGTACCCTCCCGATTGTCCACTAAGTGTATTAGAATTGGCAATTCCACTACCTAGAGTGTTAGCGTTTGATACAGTGTCGTCGTTTTCTCTTCCATAATGTCCTAGAGCGTTTGAATTAGCAACACTTTCCCCATATCCCTGAGCACCCCCTAGAGCGTTTGAATTTGCTATGCTTTCCCAACCGTCGTGTCCCACTCCCAGGGCATTGGCGTTGGCTATTGAGAAGTAATAGTCTTTGGCTACACCTAGAGCATTCGAATTAGAAACTCCGCCACTTAAGGCGTTAGCGTTCGACACACTGTCACCGTGCCCCACTACAAACCCGTCTAGCGCATTTGCATTTGAAATGCTTGCATCGTATCCACTCAATGCGTTAGAGGTAGCGAGACCCCCGCCTAGAGCGTTTGAATTAGCAATCGATTCTTTGTATAAACTCCCTTCAAAATCACCACCAAGAGCATTTGCGTTTGCTAGACCGATATAACCGGCACTGCCAGTGAGAGCATTTGCATTAGACACGCTGTTATATCCTACTCCACTACTGCCTAGATCATTAGAATTTGTGAGTCCGCCCCCCAGAGCATTAGCGTTCGATACGCTGTCTCCGTGAACATTGCTATAGCCACCATGCGCATTAGAATTGGCAAGCCCGCTTCCTAAAGCGTTAGCGTTAGATACACTACCTCCGTATCCCCCATTGTACTGCCAGCCTAGAGCGTTGGCGTTCCCCACACTGCCACTGTATCCCCCACTCCCGCCCAGGGCGTTGGCATTGGCGACGCTGCCCCCTCTCCCTCTCCCCAGCGCGTTCGCGTTTGCCACGTTGCCGACTCCGCCGAGCAGCCCTCCGTAGGAGTTGGCGTTGGAAACGTGCCCGGAGTAGCCCCCACCCAGCGCGTTGGCGTTGGCGACACTGGGGCGGCCACCGCCGCTGGCCAAGGTTGTTCCTTGGGCGAAGCCATCAGCGAGCGCGTGTGATGTGGTCAGTCCGTGCTTGCTCAAGGCGTTGGCCACGGAGATGCTGGGCGGGCCGTTGCCGCCTTGCCAGCCTCCTCCTAGAGCGTTGGCGTTGGCGATGGATTGAAGCGCGTTGGCGTTGGCAACGCTGTGGCGTCCTAGGGCGGTAGCATCACATGTAGGTCACTGTGCGTTAACGCCGCTCAGCCGCTGCGCCTTCCCCGTCAGCTGTGCTCCTCTAAACGAGTGGATTAGCGTTAGGCGTGAACTCGAAGGCGTTAGAGTGTGAAGTGCCAATCTGTCCGTTAGCATAGCGTTGGTTCTCGGTAGGCGAGAGTTAGCGTTAGGGTTAGCTTGTGCTTATAATACGTTAGCGACAGCAAACGTTCTTCACCAGATTAATTTTTTAATTGCGTTAGCTTTTTAAGTGCCTTCTTATGAAGTAGTTTTGCGTTTTCTTTGCCGTGAAGAATTGGGTTGCAGATCCCACGGCAGCCAACTGTGAACACTTTGCCGTTGATAGAATACGTGACTCGTCGCTGGTCGTACCTGTCGGGAAGAAGCTCCTGTCTGCTAGCCACATTAGCCTCTGCGATTCACTTGCGAAACGCCAACACATCTTACACATTCCAACATCAAAAGAATGAAAGTTGAAAAGGATGTTAAGAGAAATCTTATTAGAACACCTCATTTTTAGTATAGTTAAAGTTCACAATGTGCGATAAATGCCAGATACTTTTTGTGTTATGGTTACTAAGATATAAGTGAGACATATTAATAGTGAAGAAAAATTATGCACATGAAATAACAAATTATAAATAATTTACAATATTATAACACTTATATTGAATAAATGGTGCATATATTTACAGAGAAATGAAGAAAATTATTAAATTCCGGGAATTGACGAATTGAAGTGTTAGCTTACAGTCAGTATATGATTATATTACAATTAACAAAATAACAGTTTTAATGAAAAATTTGTGTATTATATTTTAATGAAACGATCGCAATAAGTAAGATTCAAAATGTGAATTTTCAGAGGATAAAATTTCATTTGGATTGAATGATTAGACTTTAAATGACGTGGCTGAAACATAGCGAAACAAATAATCTTCCATTTCAATAACATGAAACAATTAGAATATATGTTTAAGTAGATGACGATGAAATTCAGCAATCTGAAAAATAGGATTTTATATAAACTTAACAATAAAAAACACTACATATAGTAAGTTAATAATTATGCATTCAGGATTTTTAGGTAGTAGAAAGGAAAAAAGTCGCAAAAAGGTATCAGAAATTAGTGACTGAACTAATCGTTATGCAGACACAATGTTTATAGAGAAAACACCTCAAAAGCATTGCAATCATACTAGACATCTCTGTGGGCACGTTTCATTAAATTTCACCAACAAGTTTTAGAAACGAAACTAATGCATTGCTAATTCTTCCTTGAAAATTTTGCGCAAGTTTTTTACTTCTTGAAATGATAATGAATTAGAAATTCGGCAAAAAAATAATGCATTTTAACGTATCATTTTCATATTTAATAACGATTGAGAAACCAGTGTTATGTGGAATTCTTAAAAGTGAATTTTTGAATATTAAATTTTTTATTATTGATTTTTTAAATATCGAATTTTTAAGAAAGTTGCTGTCTTAGAGGCTTCTTCTTTACGTTGAACTACGTACGTTTTTTACATAACAAAAGTATCAACAATTTTTAACTTTGAAGAAACATCTTTCACTTCTAGTAACCTTTCGTGCAATTCCCATCTTTTGTTGATTTCCATTGATCAGCAATTTCCAGTACTTTCCTAAATATCAATCATATTATTTAATTAATGTTTACCAATTGCATGCGCTATCGGTGACCCACATTTATATAATTTCCAAGATAATATAATTGAAATGATAATTGAAGATAACGTCAATATTTTCAAACCCTTGTAAAGAAAATAGAAAGAAAGACGTGGAAACACACCAATATCAAGAAACCCTGTAGATTTGATCTATAAAAATTCGCATTCTAAACAATGGTGTAAATGTTTTGGAGGACGAATTGGGGGTCTTCTATAAAGCATAACGCATTCTGATAAAATTCAGCGCATTTCTTCAAGGCGAAAGCAACGTCAATCGGAAAGTTGAACCTAGTAAGCGGGTGCGGAGCCTCATGAACCACTGAATTAATACATACACCACACTGATTTTCCACGTTTGTCTTATGGAATCATCCGAATGTCATCAAAATTACGGAACCACAAATCGCATGAGAACTTTTGAAACACCGAAGGGACGCGAAAAGCCACCTGCACGTTTTCAAAGATTGCATCTTATCTCATGAGACGGCATCCTTGCATCTCATCGGCCAGCGCCAGGCCGAAGGGCCCGTGGACCAGCGCGTCTCGCAAGGTTTCTTCTCGCAGTGCGCTGCGGCGCCCCGCAGGGCGGCTCGAATCCGGGGATCACCGTGCATGCGCTACCCCGACCACGGAGGCGAGAAGGAAGAAGGTGCTGAGCTTCGCGAACGCCTGGTGCTTGAGGGCGACTGTGAGCTGAGCTGTCTGTTGGCCCAGTGAGCGAGGCGAGGCCTGCCGCATTTTGTACGCGATGGCCGGCCCGGCCGCCCCGCCCCGCCCCCCGCCCGCCCACGCGCTGCGGAGCGGTGCGGAGCTTGCACTTCTGCGCACTTGAAATTACCCGGAGTTATCGCCGGCGAACAGCCATCGTGTCGTGGTTTATTGCTAAAATACGGAGCGCCCTTCCTTCGGCCACTGGTGCGTCGCGGCGGCTCGTGCAGAGGCGCGGGCGAAGCCTGTTTGGGCCCGAGGGCCAAGTCGATTTAATTGGCGTCAAGACGCACGACTTTACCTCGTCAGCAGTACCTCTACTCAGTACTTCGCACAAACAGCTGCCGTTACACGGATGTAAATCCGACCAATTCCACAGAAAAAGATGAATTCATCATTCCAAGCGGGGAATTTGAATTTGCATGAAAATAATTATATTAGACTTTTTTTGAGATAGAGACGCTTGATTAGTTTTATTTTTTGTTTATTTGTGAACATTCTAATTAATACTAATATTTACGTAAAAACGTATACCTTTTGTTACATCTTTATATTTAAAAATTAGTTATGACTATTCTTATGACTACAGCCGATAGGAGGAATATTTTAAAGAATAAAATAATTTCTCCACTTTCCCATTTTCACTCTCTTCTTCTCTTAAATATCTGCGCTTAAAAATGTTCCAACGGAAATGCTTACATATGCATGCTTATTCCCTTGGGGAAAACCTATGTACCTATGTACAGAAACGAAAAATGCTGGCAGTGAAACTGTACTTACAAAACTGGCTAATTTTAAATATCGTGTTCTACAATTAACCCCAAGTACTGCCAATGGGATATATTATATACTCATATTGTGGACGTCAAATGACCATGACTTTTACAATTCTACTAGTACTTGTACTAGAGGTCTAAAAACGAACATTACTCCCATTCCAAAGTAAATTTGAACAAAATAACAAATAATTAATGAAAAAGCATATACAATGTAAAAAATCTAAAAAAAATCAAACTCACTGTCAACGTGATTGTGCTTGTTTTTTTTTGATTTCGTAATCTGAGAACAGCCCAAAACCGCACATGTTTTAATCAATTTCCGCCCGTTGGGTGTTCCGAAAGAGAGCCGATTTCCAGCCCAATATGGCAGCTCTGCCTCTACAGGTGAATCCAGTCGCTTTCCGCCTCGTGGTAGCTGGGTTCCAATCCCGGCTGTAGTTCCTAGATACAGGGTGCAATGCAAGCATTTGCGCCGTGAATGTCGAATTTATACTAGGTTGTCAAGAGAGTTCGAACAGGGAGGTACATTGAATGCCGTGTATCTACAATTTATACAAAACTAATCTTTATGTAATCGAAAGTGTTTCTTATGACTTCCCTTGTTATCATTTTCCTTCAACTCTTGGAGTCCGGAATACAGCCATCTGTGCTCTCGAAACTGCAGGCATTATCGAAATCACTACATTAGAGTTATCAGATATGAATGTGAATTAAACGTTTATAGAGTTGTTTATTTAGATTGCACATTATTTATTTATTTGCTCAATCGAATAACAGAATATTTTTGCTTATTGCTTGAAATTTATTGGTCAATTATAATAATTATTTTATCATAATTATTATTATAATATTATCTTAATTATTTAACCCTTCGTTAGGCGCTTCCAATTTCGGAACGTTTTTAGTCACGCAGGGTCTTATAGCACCAAGCAATACTTTGATTTTAAAGAACAATCTATGGATTTGTTGGAGGAAATCTACCTTCTACGTCATCACAGAAAGTGATAGGAGAGTATTCGGCGAGAAATGCATCTCAGTATACATTGCATATTTCTTGCATGACTTATTTTACATATTGATGTAGAATTACAAGACATAAATACGTAAAACCAATACTAAACTAGAAGGCATAATTATTTCATGTCTTATGCTAAAAAGCAGTGTTGATTACAACAAAGCAATCTTCTTAAAATTAGCCCATTTTTCAGTAAACATAAGGAAGTATCGCATTTTTACCAATGTATTTTGGTCATCTGTTTCTCTTTGGGGCCTGCCCAATTTTTCTTTGATTTTCTTTTTGTTTTGTTTTTCTATTGAGTCAGCATTTTTTAAAATTTATTCTTGTGTGTGGACCTTCTTTGCTACTACTGGAGTAACAAACTTTGAGTAAAGTTATTTTTTTGGTTCTGGAGTTGATGCGGATTTTGTTAGCCATTTCTGAAACAAATTACTCTTCCACATGTATACGCAATATTTGAAGATGAGTGAATATTTCCTCCGTCATTATCAGGGCTCGGATTTTACTGACATTTCATCATTTCATTGGTGCATTCTAGATGCAGCCAACTTGCAGATGGATGCTTATTACGGAATGAAATATACTCGTATATGATAGAAGAGGTACAAATCCTGTATTTGAGTAACTTTGAGTATGCGTGTGTGCGGTTCCGTCACTCAAGGTTAGACCACTTCCCATGCACTAATCAAGACATCTGAACCCATTTGACAATCGACGCCCCTCGGTCTCCTGGTAGGGAACTGATTATTTGTTTTAGGATCCGGTCAGAAGATTGTAAGAAATTTCCAAAAACGTGTTTTTCGTGTTTTGGAACTACAATATCAGTGCATAGATAGGGAATTTTAAAAAACGCCACCTAAATGGAGCTACAAGTATATTGGTAGCGTTGATTGAGCTCCAGTATCCAGACGCAATTTTCGGTCCACGACATTATAGTTTCCTCCATGGGGACGGCAATACTGATGATTGTGGACATAATATGTGAATTGTTTCGTAGGTGTTACCGTATTATAACTATAGATTTGCAAACGCCTATGTACAGTATTACCTTGGAACTCATTAAATTTGAATAACGAAAGGTGAATACCAAGAACTGAAAGTTATGTTAGAGAATGGAAGCATTTTTCACATTTACATTTTTAAGCGTGCAAATACAAATTTTCAAGTGAATGTGATAACAATTTATTATAATTTAAATTTAAATAGCACCTTATTCAAATAAACAAATAAAACAGTAACCAGTTAATGTTTATATAGACTCCTCTACCAAATGATTAAACGAACAATTGCAGAAGTAGGAGTGAAAACCAATTAGACTGAATATTTCAAAAAAATGGTGGCATTGATTTTGTTTAAATTTTGTTTCCGGATAGACTGTAGAACTTTTAAGGCAATGGTGCAGGTCACATGTAGAATAAAAACCCCACACAATTTTTTTTTTTTTGAAAATTGAAGAAAATTAAAAACTTTTTTCTGTGTTTTCGTAGAGCTAAAATACTAAAGATAGAATTTTTTTCTTTATGATCTGTATTTCTTAAAGATAGATTTTGAAATTAGGTCATATACAATGTTTTGAAAATTTGAGTACTTTTTGCGTAATTTTGCAAAAAATGTAGGCCATTTTTAATTTTTCTTTAAACAATTTTTCCCCAAAGCGGCTCCATCCTTTTGATGAAATTGTGTTGGTGGATAGTCTGAAGGACGTTTAAGAGAATGCTACACTCCTCGTAATGGTTGAAAATTCTGATTTTTCGAAAAGTGAAAAAATTCAAAATTGTTTCATCGTGTTTCTACAACTACACTTAGACTTTTTTGAATAGTGAAGTTTTTCATCAATAACAGATCTTTCAATAAGGTAATATTCAATTTTTTAAAAGAGTTTTTTGCGTAATATTATGTCAAGTATAGGCAATTTTATTTTCTTCAAACAACTTATTCTTAAAAACCGCACATTCTTTTATTAAATTGGGAACTTAGATAGCATTGAGAACGCTTAAGAGAATAGTACAGGTCTCGTGTTTATTGTAATTTTGTTGAAATTTAAGAAAATAAAAAAAATCTGTGCCTTCCTACAACTACAATAGGGTAGATACAATTTTTTCCTTAATGAAATGTGTTCCTAAAAACAGATCTTTAAATAAAACCACGTGGAATTTCTTGAAAATTTTAGTAACTTGGGTGTAATTTCGCCACAAGCATAAAAGTCCTCTTCGATTGACTGTGCTTCATCTTCTGCGTCGTCTTACAACTACAACAGTGAAAATACATTTTTTCGTATTGAAATATGTTTATCAAAAATATATTTTCAATTTTTTGTTCCATTTTCATCATCATTTCACATCATGTTATTTTTTTTTTTAAATATGAATATTTTTGTGTACGTTGATGACAAAAGTAAATGCCCGACGCGACTTTACTGGACTTTGAGAACGATTCCAAATTGTTGGATGCTTGGTAAGTTAGAATTTGTATATTATTTAATATTCCTTTTTTTATTTCTTACTTTCGAAATTTTTTATTCTTTTCCACACTAATATATTAAATATTACTTAAAACCTGAACCCAAAATATATGAAATAAACAATATTAGCTCTCAGTCGCCCGCTGCCAATTTACGCAGTTGATTGACACGTACGTTAGAATTTGTTTTACACACACATATTTAATTATGTCTAATATTTATAATATTGTTATATAATTTAATTTGAAATTTCTTCCTTTAACTGTGTTAAAATAGAAAACAAATAGATGAGTAGTCATTATTGGCTATTATAACGTCGCACTGATAACTGAAGGCGATATTGACGGCTGCCGTTCTTTTGCGGTAATATAAACTAATAATTTTGTATATTTGTACAATATTACAATACTATAGTGTTTAATAATCTCCATTATGCGTAACTACTACTCGCATATGTTCGTGAATACACTGCATGCCTTATAAAATGAATTCAATTCCACAAATATATATTTTTGTTTAAAATTTTGCTTTCTATTACTACGTTTTTTTCTTACCATCTTCAAGATCACAGATTTTACTTTCATTTAAAGTATTTTTTCTACTATTTCACCGTAGTCGATCTAAGAAACACACTACCTTGGTTTTATTTTCTTGCACCTCGTTTGAGACGGTGTCAGTATAGAAATGAAAAGGCTGTAATAAATTAACTAATGACAAGGTGATGAGAGGTAAAGGGCTAGAATGATGGAAGAAGGTGGAGGTGTGGTGAAGGTGGTGAAGGGGGAATAGTGGGAGGTGTTCGTGGGATTTGGGAAACATCACAGCATTCGCCTTGTGGCCGAGGGAAGCCATGA